ACGCCTTCATCCAGACACAGGCAGCTGGGACAATATTCAGCCCCCATCTGCCAGCAGGGACATGAACCCTTCGTCCCCTCCTCCTGTGGTCAGGCAGAGCTCAGCATTTGTGGCAGGGTGGCCTCAGCAGCCATTAGGGTGAAGGTGACAGGGAGCCCACACTTCCTGCTCCGCAGAGGCTGCAATCCGCTGCAGTGCTGGGCGGGGAACAGTCCAGAGCAAAGCAGAGCTCTGCAGCTGAGTGCCCAGCTCAACTGCATCCTGGGCGGCTCGAGCTTCGGCAGGAAGAGCCAGGAGAGTCCAAGAGGGAAGCTAGGGGCGGTGGCCCGCGCCCCTGCCCTGGGATCCTGGCAGGTGACAACAGCGGCAGCCAGACATCTGGCACCACCGACTCCCTTGCCTGCTGTCCCCACAGCCCCCACAGGAAGCGCCGGCCCGATCTGCTCCCAGCCTCCAACTCCGAGGTCAGTAACCGCGTAAGTTAGTGGACACATCAGGTGTCTTCAAAGTGAAAGAAGGTCCTGAGAAGAGTGTTCATGGCAGAGCTTAAAAATATGTTTATATTACCATGGCCAGAGTGTTTGGTATTCGTAGATCTGGAAAATATTTCTATTTAAGAGTTATCTTCAAAAGTAACGTCGTTTAAGTGAGTCCATGGACACAGCGCCTCTCAGTTCTTCTTCATTTCCTCCTCTCCTCCCTCCATCTCTCACTCCTGCTCATTTGCAAAGGATCTGTCTTCATTTCCTATCATCTGTCTCTGATTTTCCTCTTTGTTTATGCTTTATACAAAAGTAAAATTGTTTCTAAAAAAATAGCATCTCTCCCAAGGTAAATATCATTAAGAGAATAAAATGAAAAGCCACTTACTAGGAAAAAACACTCACAGAATGCACACCCATTAAAGGGCTCAGATATAAAACATACAGAGACTCTTAAAACCCAAGCATAATACAAAAGCTAGAGCTCTTACACAGTGATGGGAAACAGCACACTGCTTTGGAAGGCACGGGCTGGCACATAGGACCCAGCATCTGTGCTCCAGGCTTTTGCCAGCTGATTTCAGAAATTTGTCTGCACAGAACCTGCACGTGCACCTTTAGAGCAGCCTTGGCCATTACCATGAGAGACCGGAAGCAGCCACGATGGTCTTCAACAGGTTCACGGACGAGCAAGCTGGTGCATGCGTACAGTGGGGCTCTAAACACACACTGCCGAGTAAAGGAAGCCAGTCTGAAAAGGTGAAGCCATTTACAAGACGTCTGGAGAAAGGCCAAACTGGTACACATCCAGGAACTGAGGTCAGAAGGGCAGGGACATCCGAACGCCTGTGTTCCTTGCAGCACTATTCACCACAGCCAAGAGATGGAAACCACTCAAGCGTTCACTGATAGATGAATGAAGAAAGAAAATGCAGTACCTGTACACGATGGAATACTATGCAGCCTTAAAAAGAACAAAATGCTGTCACTTGCAGCAAAATGGATGGAGCTGGAGTTCACCGTATTCAGTGAAACACGCCAGCCGCAGGAAGGTGAGAGCCACATGATCTTGCCCAGATGCGGAGTCCAACAGAGGTGACCTCAGAGAGGCTGAGAGCAGGAGGCTGGGGACCAGAGACTGGGGAGAGAGAGGGAGGAGAGAGATGGGAAAGGCCGAGGTCAGGGTGCTAAATTACAGCGGGAGGAACAAGACGCCCTGCAGGGCAGGGTGAGCACAGGTAAGAGCACTGTTCTCTACTTTTCAAAAAGCTACAGCAAAGGATTTTGGGGATTTGGGAAGGTGGCACACGCCTGTCATCTCAGCACTCTTGGAGGATGAAGCAGGAGGATCACAAGTTCGAGCTCAGTCTGGACTTAGTGAGTTAGCAAGACCCTGTCTCAAAATAAAAAAGGACCAGGTAGGGACCTAAAGGTGAAGACCTTGGCACTCAAAAAAAAAAGAAAAGGGAAGGGCCGGGGTTTTACCTCAGTGGCACCGTACCTGCCGTGAAAGCACAAGGGCCTGAGGTTGATCCCCAGTACTTATGGCGGGGAGACAGAAACAAAAAATTTTTTGAAGCTTTTAACCATGAACAAATGCTAAATATTTAGCTGGGTGTGGTGGCACATGCCTGTAATCTCAGCACTTGGGAGGTTAAGGAGGATCTCCTCAGGGTGAGAGCCTGTCTCAAAAAACAAACAAACAAACAAAAAACCAAAGAATCAACAACTGGGATCTCATCCTATTAAAAAGCTTCTGCACAGCAAGAGAAGCTACCAACAGTGTGAAGAGACGACCCACAATGTGGGAAAAAGTCTTTACCAGCTGCTCCTCAGAGGTCCACTATCTAGAATATAGAAAGAACTTTAAAAAATCATAGCTCCCAAATTTAAAGACCCAACCCAAAAATGGGCATCTGAAACGAACATACATTTCTCAGACAAATAAGTAGAAACAGCAAACAAACATATGAAAAAATGTTCCACATCACTGGTCATTCGAGAGATGCAGATGAAAACAACACTGAGATTCCACCTCACCCCAGAAAGCATGGCTGCTATCAAGAAATCAACCAATAACAAATGCTGGTGTGGCTGTGGGGAGAAAGGAACTCTTTTCCACTGTTGGTGGGAGTGCAGACTGGTGGAAATCAGCTGATTTCCATTTATTTTGAGACAGGATCTCACCAAGCTGCCCAGGTTGGGCTCCAGGTGTGGAAATCAGCATGAAGATACCTCAAACAACTAGGAGTAGAGGTCCCATTTGACCCAGCTATTCCCCTGTTGGGTATCTTCCCACAAGATTTAAAAGAATCATATCACAGTGATCCATGCACACCCATGTTTTTAGTGGCACGGTTTGTAAAAGTTAAAACTTGGAAACAGCCCAATTGCCCATCAACTGGTGACTGGAAAAAGATTTTTTTTAAAATAAAATGGAGTACTACTCAGCCATAAAAAATGGGAAACTAGAGACGTTTACAGCTAAATGGATGCACATTGAGGCCATACTCAAAGTAAATAAATAGGTCACACGTGTGTTAATACTGAATACTTTCTGTGGTGTGAGAAACTGAAGGTGTAAATAAGGATTAAAATGTAGAATAGATAATGTGAAATAGAAAGATAAGGCCCAGAGGGGAAGGGGAAGTTGGACGGGTAGGGCAAGAGAAAGGAATAAGTATGAGAAAAGGAAAAAACAGAACATAGAAACAAAGTCTTTGTAAATAGGGAGGGGTGGAGGGATAGAAGGGAATAGGGGAAAAAAATGTTAGGTTTGGTTTTTTTGTTTTTTGGTATCAGGGATCAAACTCAGGACCTTGCACTTGTGAGGCAGGTGGTGGAACCACTGGACTAAATCCCCTGCAGTAGGGGATAAAAATAACCAAGATATATTATGTAAAGGCACAAATTCCCAAAGATGAATGTCAGCATATCGTAAACCTAAAATGTACCAATAGACTTGATAAATTTTAAAAAATGATAAATGGTTAAGGAAACAGATACGTCAAGCATGGTACTTAATAGAAATATGCATTGAAGTGAAACACGGTACCCCGTTACTATGCGCAGTTTTGGTTTTATATATCAGTTAAAATAAATTTAATTAAACTTAAAATATATATTACAAACAAATTTTATATAACAGAATATATAAATGAAATTTGTATATAAAAATATAAAACCAAAGAGACGGGTTTCCAGAGGTTGCAGAAGAGGTGGCCGAATGACCGGGGACCCAGAAGGACTGCTAAGGACAGTCAAAGTGTCCCTTAAATATTGGAATGGTGACACAGGGGGTCACACCTTTGTCACAGCCCACAGCACAAAGAGTGACTGTCAATGTGTACAGAGTGAGAGGTCACAGGTCAGCAGGGCTAAGTGATGCACGACTGTCATCCCAGCACTTTGGAAGGCTGAGGCAGGAGGGTCGCAAGCTGGAGCCCAACCTGGGCAGCTTGGTGAGATCCTGTCTCAAAATAAAGAAATTTTAAAAAGGGCTGGGGATGCAGCTCAGAGTGGAAGTCCTGGGGGTGGCGGGAAGGGGCTGGAATGGTCAGCACGGTATCGGGTTAGCCCGGGACACTTCAGGACGGACTTGTGTCGCTGTGCATGGTCACGTGATAAAGAAGCACTGAACTGTACTCGCTTCAGCAGCACATCTACTAAAGGAGAAGCTCTGAGTCGCGAGCCAAGCAGATGAAGGGCCAAGAGTTCATGGCACTAAATGAGTGACTGAGTGAAGGAAAGAGGGAGAAGAGACAAACCTCAAGCACAGAACAGATCATTCATCCAGAACGGGGCTCCTCCGGCAAGGACGGGCTCCCTAGGTGACTTCCTTCCAGAGTGTGTCACGGGAAGGGGACAGAGCCGTCACACGCACACGGCCGTAGCCCTGTGCCTTTCCTCCCACGGCCCGGGGCAGCCCTGGGGAGGCAGCAGGCCTAGCACACACAGTCACCGGCGACTGGGGCAGGCCATGAAGCTGTCAGAGCCCAGAGAGGGCCGGGGGACACGAGGAATAAATGTGCCATGGTGTCCCGACAGGATGAGAGAGCGGGAGAAAAATAACCCTAGGTAAGGACGGTGCAAATCCGAACACAGCGAGGGCTTGGTTAACAAGACAGCAAGTCTTCACCCTGAGCCTTCAACTGACCAAGTGAGTTACAACCGGCCCTCATGAACGAATAGAGTTCGTAAGTTGAGTCCACTGTACAAACCTTCTGTCTTCCCAAGTACAAAACTACAAAACACAAATTTTCCCAATTAAAAATCAAAGCGTTGAGCCGGGTGTGGTAATGCACGGCTATAATCCCAGCACTTGGGAGGCTGAGGCAGGAGGATCACTGTGAGGTCAAGACCAGCCTGGTCTACATAGCGATTCCTCATCCCACCTGCAACCTCTAGTCCTTCCCAGCAGCGGTCTAGTTGTTCAAGCCCAGCACTCTGTGGTTTCTGCCATGCTGGCTTTTTCTACCCTCTGCCCTCCAGGGCCCCCCTTCCAAGGATCCCTTCTACCTCCTGTCTCCATGTGATGTTCAACCTTCTGGGTCTGATTTGTTCCATCTAGCAGTCCGGTCTCGAGGGACATCCACTGTCCTACAACAAATGACTCCAATGGTTCAGAAGTCCCAAAACTTACTGTGGCACCCTCGTCCAACACGAAAGATCTTCATCAAGGGTGTGCTTTGTTGTTCTTTAACTTACTGTCTTCGCCCAGCGTGTCTTGGAGATCTCTGTGTCCCGCGGCTCTACCCGATTCTCCCAGATGGGTTTTTCCTGCAACACAGCGAGGGAAGGTGAGCCACAGGCGTGACCGGCACGTTGTTCACCGCTGCCGAGAGGTGGATGGGCCCTGGAGACACAGGGCTGAGCGAGAGAAGCCAGAACGATGATGTGTATTTCCGCGAACAGAACTATCCAGAGCAAGCGAACGTCCCAGGACAGGAAGCCGACCTTTGGGTGCCAGAGAAGCGGGTGTGGGGCGACCGCCTACCAGGCACAGAGTTTCATTTAGGGGAACAGAAACGGTCAGGAGCTAGACAGTGGAGACGTTTGGAACGCTGCAAATGGACTTACACCACTCAGTCAGACTCTTGTGTGATGAAAACCTGACGAATATTTCACCACACGCACACACAAATTGGAACAGCCAGGAAAAAAGAGCAAACACAAACCACAGCCCTCCCCCCAAATTGAAAACTAGGCCTGGCCAGTTCCACAGCATTTCTTCTAAACTTCAGAAAGACTAATTCTCAGGCAAATTATTCTGCAGTGTAGAAATAAAGCCTTTCAATTGCTTTTGAACAAAATTTAGAAGGCTCATTTATGAAATGTTCAATCCCATTGCAAACACTTAAAATGATTTACTAAGTGATTTTTCAAAAACTCAAACATGAAAAACTGTTAATGAAAACAGACAGCACAAGGCAAAAACAGACTGCTGCAAAAAGAAAGCTCAGCAACACTGACCCTGTCTGTATTTATTTTTTAAATTTAATTTATGGTACATTCTAGGTAGACAGTAAAGCTACATTCATTACTGGGATCTTGTACCTTTACATGCCAGGTCTTGGTTCTCATTTTTTTCCCCTTGTCCCTGCCCTCCCTTCACCCCCTCCTCCCCTCCCCACCTTCAAACACTTTAATTCCATTTTTACATTTTCTCATATTTTTTTCCTTTTCCCTTATTCCCCTTTCCCTATCCTTCTCACTGTCCCTACACCTTTGGTCCTTTTCTTCCTATTTGCTAATTGTCCCATTAGGCTCTTGAGTATTATAGTTTTTTCACACCAGAGAAACTATTCGGTATTTATACACTTATTTCTTATTTATTTCACTTAGGAGTATATCCTCAAAATGTACCCATTTACCTATGAATGAATCTACTTTCTCATTCTTTATGGCCGAGTAGTATTCCGTTTTATAGAAAAACCACATCTTCTTTATCCAGTTTCCAATTGATGGGCAGATGGGTTGTTTCCAAGATTTAGCTATTACAAACTGTGCCGCTGTAAAGATGGGTGTGCATATATCACTGAGGTATGATTCTTTCACTTCTTTTGGAAAGATACCCAACAGAGGTATGGCTGGGTCAAATGGAACCTCAAATCCTAGTTCTTTGAGGTATCTCCATAGTGGTTGCACCAGTCTGCACTCCCACCAACAATGGAGAAGGGTTCCTTTCTCCCCATGACCCTGTCTGTATTTAAAATGTTGATATTTTGTTCATCATGAATTTTTTTCCATTAATTTTTTTTTTCAGGTTTGAGACAGGATCTCACTATGTAGTTCAGGCTGAACTCACTATGTAGCCCAGGCTGGCCTCAGACTCACAGCGATCCTCCTGCCTCAGCCTCCTGAGTGTTTGGATTACAGGTGTGCAGCCACCAGACTCAGCTTGATTTTTAACATAGAATTGTTTAAAAATGACTATTTGCATTGATAACTGAGGGCTTTTTGGTTCTTCCTTAGAATTTACCCCTGGGGCAGCTACCACGCCGTGGCCCTGCCACCCAGCTGAAGTGCACTGGTACAGTATTCATCACCTTGGTGACAAGTCCTGGGTGTAGTTATTCTTTGTGTGTGTGAATACATACATATCGGTTTCTACCTCAGCCGATGCATCCTCCCTGCCAGGTGCATCCCGATTTTCTATCATATCTGCACTACCATTAATTCGCAGTTCATTTCTGCTCCGTGCATTTCTTTTTTCTTTGTTTGGTACCGGGGATCGAACTCGGGTCCTTGAGCCTGCGAGGCAGGGAGCAGAACCACTGAGCTCAATCCCCGGCCCTGCTCCGTGCATTTCTTGATTGGCGATGAACGTTATTTTGACGCTACCAGGGTTCTAGCAAAATTTATAATCCTATCTGTAAGCATAAATAAGTGGATTTATCTGCTGCGTGGAACTTTTCAACTGACTTTGCCACACTGCTCCGGCCCGCGTCAGAGGTTTCGCCCTCGCAGAACCGACTTCCAAGCGCTGCCCTTCGGCCCCACCGCGCAACCACCCGTTTCTCTACGCGTAGCCCCGGGACTGGGCCTGGGGGGGCTCGCGCGCCCCCCCTCCAGGCAGCTCTCCGTACTGCCTGTCCCGCCTGGACGCCTTCCGCGGAGCACCAAGACGTGGGCACCTTCCCTCTAGGCTTGGGCGGCCCGCCCTAAGACTACTGTCCCAGACTCACCCGCAGGGATCTGCTGGCTTCGGCCCGCGGGACCTTGACCCCACCTCGAGACCAGAGCAGGCGGTGTGAGCCCTTGGGGACTCTTCCCTGTCTCCGTGGCATCCTACATGGTGGGAGGAGACACAGTCAGCGAGAGGTAAAGGGGCTTCTGGGGTGAGGCGGCTAGGAAAACCCCTTCCATATCTGTTTTACTTAAAAGAAGGAAAAGCCCTAACTTACGGTGGGGACTCACCTAGAAACGAGTTCCTAAGGGACTCAGCATCTAAATCTGTCCTTTTTCGGAAACTAGGAGACACGTGTCCCGTTCAGAGGGGTGGCCTGTGGGTGGCTTTGTCGCCGGTGACCATCACTTCTGTCACAGACCTTCCCAAAGCGACGCAGGGGTCAGGAGGCCAAGGTGCAGCTTCGTCTTCTGTGCCCAGCGCTTTTACACCCCTGATGCCGTCTGATCCTGACAGCAGCCCTGTCGGTTGATATTATCATTGTCGTTTGACAGGTGAGGGCCTGGAGCGAATGAAGTGACCCCTTTTATCTGAGGGGTGCATCTTCCAAGACCCCCCATGGAGGCCTGAAGCTGCGAATGGTGCCAAACTCTATGAATACTCTGGGCTGGTGAGGCCTTGGGTTCAATCCCTGGTACTGCACAGGGTGGGGGTGGGGGTGGTACACTTTTAAATACTGTTTTCTTCATCTTACATATCCATGATTTAATGTATGTACTTTGTTGACTGTATTCTTTACTATATCTGTTTGTAAAATATTTTGGTGGTTGTTCTGGGATTTTCACATACATTCTTAACTTCCCATGGTTAGTAGAAATACTTAGAATAAATACTATTTCAATGGAATGTGGAACACTTCTCAACAAGGGATTCCATTTGTCCTGCTTTCTTTATTTTATTTTTATGAAATATTTGTTTGGTTTCTTTTTTTTTTTTTTTTTTTTTTTTTTTTTGGTACCAGGGATCAAACTCAGGACCTTGTGCTTGTGAGGCAGGTAGCAGCACCACTGAGCTAAATCTCTAGCTCCCTTTCCCCTCTCTTTATATTTACATTCAGTCTGCATTGAAAACCTCATCAAACAACGTCAGAATTTTAATTTTCAACCATCAGTCATATTTCAGATGAAAGAAACAGACCATTTACTCAGACATTTGTCATTTTTGTCCATACTTCATTCCTGTCATTCCACATTTCTGTCTGCTGTCATCTCTCTTCCACGGGAGGAACCTCCTGTGCTACTTGTTCTAGAACAGGTGTGCTGGTGACCAAGTCTCTGGGCTTTCCTTCATGTCAGGATTATCTTTATCTCACCCCCTTCTCCGAAGGATATTTTCACTGGGTATAGAACTGCAGGCTGGTGGTCCTTTTCTTCTAGCACTTCGTAAATATTGTTTCACTTCCTGTGAGCCTCCCTGGTTTCTGGTGAGATGTTGACAAACGAGTGTTCTATTTTTCTCTGACTACTTTGGAGATATCTTGGTCTCTGAAGAAGTTAGATTATCATGTGCCTAGGAGTGGATTTCTTTAAACTCATCCCGTTTGAAGTTTATGGTGCTTCTTGAACCTATAATTTTGAGAAGTTTTAAGTCATTCTTTTTCCATTCTTATTTTTTGAACTGTGCTTTCTCCGCACCTTCTAGGCCTCTGATGACATGAGCGTTTGTCATTTTGGTATTTTCCTACAGTTTCCTGAGACTCTGCTCAAGGTTTTTTTTTCAATCTTTTTTTCTCTCTGTTGTTCAGATTGGATAATTCCTGTCGATCTTTCCTTCTACTATCAGTTCTTCCATTCTGCTTTTGACCCCACCCAATTCTTTTATTGTTTTATTTCTGGTTCTATAATTACAGTTTGATTCTTCTGTATACTTCTTATTCGTTGTTTTTTAAAAACAGGGTCTCAATATGTAGCCCAGGCTGGCCTAGAACTCATGGTGACTATGGATCTTATTTAAACCCCAAGGAAAATATGGACTTTTGATTGATCTCATGGTTGATTTTAATAGACGATAGACCTAGGCGAGGTCCAGGCTGCAAGTTCCAAGTCACTTTTTGTGGGCTCTGGTTCCAGTATGAGCTCAGTTTCAAAGCTTTCCGCGGTGCAGGCCAAGTGGCCAGTCTGGGACCTGGGTGATGGTCTGTCCCACAGTTCAGGTCTCAAACCTTTGCACATTCTTTGTCGGGACAGATCCAGCCACGCACACTGGGAGAACATCCTGAGGGTCATAAAGTTATAGGATTGCTTTCTCATGCTCTCTTCTCTCCACAGCGTCCTTAGCCCATTCTGGCTCCTTGGAGCTCCCTTTCTAGCAGGGACTACAGTTTCCCAGCTCTGTCATGATTTCTTAGGATTTAATTCTCTGTGGTCTTTTTCAAATTCACCTGCTCACTTCTGGTAGATTCATTAATTGGTCACACGAACCACACGAAATCGTTTTACACGTACAGACATCAGTGCTCTTTCTGCTGACTTGAATCTCATTTAGCTTATTTTCCCTCTGTTTAGTACAAATGTATACACGTGGTGATCAAAAACACAGTGAATGTCTAAATTTAAAATACATATTACAGTAAAAGACCCATTGCCATGAATTCCCCTCAAAATCTTCTCCCTGGCTTCAAACACAACACATCCCACTATTTCAGCCACTTTCTGAAGCAGCTCTGGAAGTCCTCTTTCACGAGTGTCTTTACCTGTGCTGTCGTGGCTACCTTGATGTCCTGACTGGATTCCAACATTTACCTTTCATGGTCCTTTTGACTTTGGGGAAGAGCCAGAAGGTGCATGGTGTCAGGTCCAATGAACAAGGTGGATGAGGACCCACTGTCATGTTTTTCTTTGACAGAAATTGCTGTCAGCATTTTGAATTAACTCAGGACATTGAGGCAGCCATAAAAAGACGCAGAGGAAGATGTGAGGGATGGCGCTGGAGGAGAGGTGAGGGTAAGAGGCCAATGCAGTCAGCAACTTGCTCAAATTGGTGGGACAGCTGGACCCAAACCCAAACTCGAGCTGGGCCTGGTCCCTTCCTACCAGGAGCTTGGGGACCAGTGGATGGACAGGCCCCATATATCTGCCCATGGGTGGCAGCCACTGGGGAGGTGCAGGGCTCACCCTGGCCGGCAGAGTCAGCCTTTCTGGGTAGGCCAGGCAGTGACCACCCCTCACTTCCCACAGGTCCCTTCCAGTCAGGGACAGCCGACTGTTGGGCCGGTGGCCTCCTTAGCTCCTCCTTGCTCCCCTCACAGATGTGTCTCCTGATAAATCTCCTGCATGGCCATCTGATGAACATTGGCTTCAGGGGGGATTGGGGTCATTTCCAGGTCCTCACCCTGCAAGCCAGTCCTGAACATGGCTTGTTTTGTTTTGTCTTGCAACAGGGTATGTATTCCAGGCTGGCCTCAAACTCCTAGTGATCCTCCTACCTCAGCCTCCCGAGTGCTAGGGTTACAGGCGTGTGCCACTGAGTCTAGCTCTCCCTATGGCTTCTGAAGTTACTGGATGCCCGTGACCGGAGTGCCGTGGCACAGTATACCAGTGTGTACTGGTCATCCTGCCTGGGATTGGCTACCCCCAATGCCCATCTGAGAGGCAGCACCAAGTCCCCTGACCCTTGAGGCCACCCACTTACAGGAAACCCCAGTTCAGCTACTCTGCCCTCAAGCAGAGGACACAGCTGGGCCTGGTCCTGACTGGAGGTCACACAGAGATAGTCCCACACCCGTGTCTGTCTGTTTTATTACTCACAGATTCATCAAGCACCTGCTATGTGCAAGATGCAGGGACAGCAGAGTGTCCCAGACGTGGCACAGGCTTGGAGACAGCTGGAAAGTGGCAGCTGTGTTGGACACTCACACTCAGAGCCAGCCAGCCAGGCTGCAGTCGTGACTGCCAAAGCCCCCAGAGGCAGAAGGGAAGAGCAGCAGCCGGATGCAGTGGAAACAGGGACGTCCCAGGCAAGCCCCCAAAAGGCCTTGCCTCCCTGCATTTGCACCAAGGACTGGCTGTGAGGGAGGTTCTGCACTGTACACAGGCTGGTGTAGATACTCCAACCACGGACACGGTCCAGGGCGGCGTGACCACTGTGGCCACCAGAGGGCGCTGCAGACATCCCAGCGCGGGAGAGCCTGCGACTGAGCATAAAGACCTTGCCCAAGAGAGGCGGCCTCAGGGATAAACTGTCCACCTGGCTCATTTTACATGTGGGGAAGCTGAGGCTCAGAGAGGAGGATGGTGTGACTAAGGAAGGGACACAAGTTTGATGTGACCTAGTCCCTCTCTCTCCCTCTCTCTCTCTCTCTCTCTCTGTACCAGGGATCGAACTCGGGTCCTTGCGCTTGCGAGGCACGAGACGGAACCATTGAGCTAAATCCCCAGCCGACCTGGTGTCTCTTAAGGTGCAAAATGAAAATCAGAATTAGCCCCACATGGGGATCCAGCCCTCTTGGAGACTGAGGCAAGAGGATCTCGAGTTTGACCCAGCCAGGGTGAGTGACTCAAAATAAAAAATAATTGTTTAAAATGGCTGAGGAGGTAGCTCGGTGTGAAGGCCCTGGGTTCAAACTCCAGTATGAAAGAAAGAAAGAGGACGATCAACAGAATTAAGACAGAGAGCAAGACATGCATATAATCACTAATAACACTGCCTCCCAAAAAGACCATCAGCATCTGTCACGGGTGACGGGTGACGTCTGCACCAGCGGGTCACTCTGGGACCGAAACACACCACCCGCAACCAACGTCTTTCCAGTGTACGAGTCCCCCTGAGGGTTGCATACATCCGGCCTGCGGGGGTCCTGCAATCAGGGACCCTGAGCCCCCACAGGAATCCCCAGCATCAGGGCCGCAGGACAGCGCGAGTCCTCCCCCGGGACTCTGCAGCTGCCCCTCCGCCCTCCCCTGCCTGCGCCTCTCCCAGCCCCGCAAGCGCGCACCAGCAGCAAACGGCCCACTGCAGAGTCCGCGAGGCCAGGGCAGCGTTAGCACCGCGGCCCTGCGGACGGGGCTGAGACCCCACCTTCCCTCTGGAGCTCGGAAAGCCGCCCGGATCCCACACGAAGAAACCGACGGGTGTTATTTGCGGCAGAATATACCCAGCATTTAGATGTCCGCAATGAGGGCAGGATCGTACTGATGATGATGACTTCGCACTTACTGAGGGCTACCGCGGGCGCAACGAGCTCTGGCGAGGACTTTAAGGAGGAATTAATATCATCACCCCCGTTTTACAAAGGAGGAAACTGAGGCACAGAGAAGTTAAGTGATAGGGTGAGGCTCTGGGGCACCCCCTTTGTGGGATTTATTCTAAATTAAGATGTGCAGAAGTTTAATGCCATGGGAAGTCTCTAGGGTCTCATGTTGTAGGAAAGTGTGCGTGTGTGTGTACACACATACGTGTGTATGTGAACAATAAAATACGTAACAAAAGAAAGTTGTGGCTGAGCACACCCGGAAGTCCACGG